AGGCAGGTCTGGGTTGGCACCCCAACAGCCTTTAAGTGCTCTTTAACTTTTGGGCTAGTCAGGTAAGAAGCACTTACTTATAGGATCTGTGCTAGCTGGGGTTGAGTGTAAGCAGAAAGTCTCAAGAAAAGATATGTACGTAAACATTTTATTATGACAAACCTATGTATGCATATATACACATATATGCATATACTCGTATATGCATATTCATTGAGCGGATTTTCATCTTACTAGGTAACTTTGTAACTTACATCTTCTCCTCCCTTACCCACTGTTCTCCAGGTATCTGTTACATGCTCCGCAGGCTCTGTTCTAGACAGAGGCTGTGGCGGTGGACAGGGCTGGGCTGCCGACTTCCAGCCCTCTTAGCTCTGAGCTGTTTTTGTTTGTTTGTTTAGATTTTACTTTTACATAGAACTGGGGTGTGGGCCAGAGAGTGGGTGGGGGGGTGAGAGGATTTACCAGAGACAGAGTAGGGAGCAGAATGGGCAGCTCCACTGAAATCGCTGCTGAGGGGAGCGGCAGGGAAACAGGAGAGGTCAGCTGCGCCATGTGGCTAGCTCCCTGGCTGGGGATTGAACTCAGGCCGTTGTGGTGGTAGCGCTGAGAATTACCCCTAGGCCACCAGGGAGGCCCAGCTCTGAGCTGTTTTTATTTCCTGCAGTTCAGTTTGTGAGAAAAACTATATTGAAGTGTCATTGCTCCTCTTGCTTTAGATCTGAAAACAGTTTAATGCAAAATTGTTGGGGATATTTGAGCAAACGCATTTCCTGACCTTCTGGTCTTTGGTCACAAGAGCAGAACTGTCGGCATGAAACAGTTTTATACTGGGGTCGGGAAGAGAAAATACACCAAAATCACAGTTGTCTTCATGGGCTGGGGGAGTGTTTTTTCTCACACGTCGCTCTCCAGATCAGAGCTCCAGTCTGAACTGTGGGCACGCTCACTCGCTGCCTGCGCCCCTCTCCTCCCGGCTCTCTCCTAAGCACCCCCAACAGAAGTCAGCGGCTCTTACCCGCCCCCCGCCCCCTCACGCTTCCTCCAAAACACCAGCATGTTTTCGCGAAACCTTTCCTTCTTCACTTCTCGCCACCCAGCCCGGAGTCTCGCGTGTCGCCGGCGTCACCTGCCTCAAATCCCACCCCCGCCCTCCCCTCCCCTTGGACACGCGAGCGTGGCGCTGCGGGGCTCCCCGAGCCAGGCCCCTCTCCCTCTCTTTAGTTCACAAGCCCCAGCTCGGGGACCAGAGGGGACAGCGGGCGTCCTGTCTTGCTGCTGACTTAGAGGCAGGGCTCCTCGGCGCTCCCTGCTGAGGAGGATGCGGGCGTGGGACGCCCAGGGACATTGCTGCGCCCCGAGTTTGTCGAGAGTCTTTGTCATGAAAGGGTGGTGTTTTTGTCGAATGCTTTTTCTGCCTTTGCTGAAACAATCATTTTGTCTGTACGGCGTGGCCGTTGGTCTGTCCGAGTTGACCAGGCCAGTCCCCCGCCGCCGTGGCCCGTGGTCTCCTGCGGTGCCGCGGCATTTGGCCTGCGAGTGTTTTGAGGAATTTTGCATCTCTGTTCAGCAAGGACGGTGACCTGAAGCTTCCTTTTCTGGTGGTGTCCTTGTCTGGCTTTGCCAGCAGCATAACACTGGCCTCCAAAAACGAATTTGGAAGTGTTCCTCCACTTCTATTTTTGGGAAGAGTTGGGAAGGATTGGTGCTTGTTTTTCCTTAACTGTTTGATTTCTGATCTCCTGACTTGTTGTCGTTGGTTCAGATTTTTTTTTTTTTTTAAGATTTATTTATTTATGCATACAAGAGCTGGGGTGCAGGCCAGAGGTGTGGGAGGTGAGAGGATTCACCAGAGACAGAGCGGGGAACAGAACAGGCAGACTGACTGAAACACACTGCTGAGGGGAGCAGCGGGTGAGACAGGAGAGGTCTGCTGCGCCATGTGGGTGGCTCCCTGGCCGGCCGGGGATGGAACTCGTGTTGCAGAGGCTGCGAATTGCTTCATAGTGCGGGGCTTAACCCCTTGTGCCACCAGGGAGGCCCCCCGTTGGTTCAGATTTTCTATCCTTTGTGATTTAGTCTTGATAAGTGCTATGTCTCTAGGGCTTGTGCATTCCTCTCAGTCATCCAGTCTGCACTTGATATTTCAGGATTATTTTCCCTTACTACGAAACGGTGGTGTTAAATGACCTTTATTACAGATCTGTCTTGGAATCCTGGCTTCCCCTCTGCGGGGTCGGGGGGGGGGTCTGGGCTAGTCGTTGCACCTCTGAGCTTGTGTGTTCATCCCAGTGGTGGGTGAAGAACCACAGTGGGTCAGGGAGGATAGAAGTCACAGGAAAACCCTTGGCACATGAGCAGGTTCATGGTAAGTGCTGGAAACTTGGAGTTTTGCTGTAGTTATATTTTTTTTAAGATTTATTTATGCATACAAGAACTGGGGTAAGGCCAGAGGTATGGGGTGTGAGAGGATTCACCAGAGACAGAGTGGGGAACAGAACAGGCAGACTGATGAAATACATTGCTGAGGGGAGCAGCGGAGAGACAGGAGAGGTTTGCTGCACCATGTGGGTAGCTCCCTGGCCAGGGATCAAACTCATGCTGCAGAGGCTGGAGATAGCTTCATAGTGCTGAGACTTAACCCCTTGTGCCACCAGGGAGCCCCCTGCGGTTATAATTATTTAAAATGTTCTTCAAAAATGAATGTAAAGAGATGTACTACTAATGCGGAAAGAACAATTGTTAGAAGGTTGCAAAGGAGACATTTCTCGTGCCTCTCCCAGCCTAGAAAAGAGGGATGTGGTGGGCTGTGTGTGTCCAGAAGCAGCTTACTGAGCCTCCATTTGGCTACACTACATCTAAATGCAGGATGAATTAGGACAAGCACACTTAAAGTTTAAATTTTGTTGATACACAATGTACATGATTTAAAAATTCTCCTAAGCAGGCAGCTCAATGAATTTCCAGTGTCAAGACACTAATGCAACTAGCAAGAAACATGTCACCAGGCACTTCTGGAAGCCCCTCAGACCTCAGACCCCCTCCGCCAAGTGACCCCAAAGGTTCTCCCTCCTGAGAATAACTGCCATCCTGACTTTGTCACCATAGCTCATTCCCTGTGCCTGGGAATTATTACACCTGTGGTGAATGTGGCCTGTTTTGCTTATATTGTTTATGTCTGCAAGACTCACCGCCATACTGTGTGTGGCAGGAATGTGGTCTCTTCCCTTCATTCTCTCGCTGCAGCCCTGCTCCTCTGTGGGTTCTGCCAGCGTATGAAGCCCTAATGTTCTAAGGCACCTGTCATATGTGGCTGAATTAAATTCTCTCTTCTGTGTGTAGGATCAGGGTGGCCTGGTACTGCCCTTGGGAGAACTTAGATAGTCCCTCAAGTCATTTTCTGTGGGGATGAGTCTCTCCGAATCCTCAGAAGGACTTTCTGGCTTTCGTGGTCTAGCAGTCCTCCAGTGCCTGCCAGCAGACAAATTGGGGCCTATCTGCCTTCTTAATTCTCCCCTAGAACTCCGACTTACTGCAAGCTACTCCAACCCAGCAGGAAGTAGAATCCAGTAAACCTGCTATAGAGGAGTATCTCGGGGTCAAATAAACAGGAAGGGGGAGTGGAGCAGAAGGAACTTTTTCCCTAGTGGGTAAAAGGCTCCCCAGAACAGGGGTCCTGGGTCTTGGCCATTGCATTTTAACATCTGTTGCTATGGAGCTGGAGCCAAAGCCCTAGGCACAGGCCGGCAAGGCACGGGGAACTGTCCCTCTCTGGCCACAGCGTGGACTCTCAATGAGAATGAAATGTCTTAGCTGTGCTCGGGACTGGGCGGGGGCAGTGGACACGTGCCTGCTGAAGATCCCATCACAGACCTCAGTGCCAGCTGCCGGGGTGGCCGGAGAGCCAAGTCTGGAAAAACACCACAAGCTGTCACGCCAAGTCGGCAGAGTAAGGCCCCCCAGAACACCTGAGCATGTTGTAAAGCAACCAGAGTTAAATGTAAAGAAACAAAGGTTGGAATTTTCAAACCTGAACAAGAAACCAGCGCTGGCAAACATGACTGTGCAGATTTGAGGTGCTGCCAAATGCCAAGTTTTATAGGAAAGTATTTAGCATAGTGCCTGACCTTTTGGGGCTACTTAAGAACGTTAGTAACTCATGGCTAACTTCTTGAAGGTCTTCCAGTTTAGGCAGATAGTTCTCAATGTAAAAAACACAATTTTACACAGTATGACGTGTCTGTGGAACCTCAAGCTTAGAAGGATTCGCTAATATCATTTTTCTGTTGGTCTTAAATTGTGTTGCCTTAGTTGAGGTCGGAATCCCCCCTCGGGGAACCATTGCAAGCATGTGTGGTAGGGTTGGGCTGCTGCGGGCCGGTGCAGCAACCCTTGGGATGACTGTCCAGAAGATTCTGTCTCCTTTTACATAAGGCTCCCTTCCCTGAAAATCCACCACATACAGTATGTTCAGAGGTAAATGGGCCTTTGTGAAAATGTGCATACTGGATTAGAAAGGGGGCGTGCAGTGCCGGCCTTGAGCACGCCAGGCTCACACAAGGCCCATGTAGACAAGTGCTTCTCGGTGCCCCATCTCCCTCCTTCCCCTCCCGGCCGCCCCCAAGAATGTCAAATGCCCAGAATGCCCACCGGCTGCCAGACCTGGTACAGCAGGATGGTGCCCCTGCCTGGGTCAGTGTTCCTCCTGCCCGCAGTTCACATGCTGGCCCTCCCCAAGTCAGTCCGGGACCCCGAAGCAGACCTCGGAAGGAGTCCCGCCTGCTGCGGTCTTCCTTCTGTGAAACTCTGGTTCTTTTGAGTTTCTGTCTGGTCGTCTCCAGTCTTTGGCGCGCAGTGAGGACATGCTGCGTGTGTCACCGGGTGTGCGGCCACATTGGCTCGCGGCCGGAAGCGAGACACCGAGCTCTCCGAGCAGAGCAGGGGTCAAAGCAAGTGGGCTCCTCCACCTCACTCATTCTGTCCCTGCTCATCTCTTCAAGGACGACGTGAGGCATAAGGTCCACCTGAACACCTTCGGCTTCTTCAGGGATGGGTACATGGTGGTCAACGTCAGCAGCCTGTCCGTGAGCAAGCCCGACAAAGCCGCAGACGAGGACGCGTCGGTGAGTCTTCTGAGGCCGGCACCTGCTTCTGCTGGCGGCGTCCCTGCCCGGGTCTGCACTGTGGGAATTTGGAGAAAAATGTCACTTGTGAGCAGACATCGGATAGTTTCGCTTTAACACTTAAGCTCGAACTCTTGAACATTTTGGTGATTAGCGAGCCTTCTTACAAAGTGAACGCTAAGGAAGGACGCCAGGCAAGCAGGCCAGGAGGGGCAGCCTCCCTGCACCTCGGGCAGGAAGGGTGCCCAGCCCACCCCGTCTCACCTCTGCTCCTCTTCTCGCCCCTCAGATCGGGTTTAGCCTCGACCGCACGAAGAACGATGGCTTCCCCGCCTACATGGTGAGTGTCCACCGCGCGACCTGGTCATCCCCTTCCCTTGAGCTGAGCACGGAGTGTGGGAACCCTGTTTCCTCTCCGTACCTGGGCTTGAGGTGGCAGCTGCTTTGACCCCCAAGCATCTCTGAGCACCCCCACTTGTGCTTACTATTTGCAGTGGAGGTGGGGCCACTGGCTTGCCTTTGTCCTGGAGACTCTTGCTGTTGTTCTGCTGTGAGTGAATAAGATGATGTAAATTGGGTCTTTCTTCCTCAGGATGAAGATGTGAATTACTGTATTTTAAAGAAACAATCTGTCTCTGACACCTTTCTAATCCTAGACATCTCCAGAAGTGAGTAAGTAATTCTGATGTTCCTTCAGTTCCCCCGAGAGTCAGCTTCGGGGGAGTTTGGTGGGGAAGCTGGCATTGAGTGTCTGCCACGTCCCCCACATTCAGTGCTGGTGGATGACAGTCCCTCGGGAGGTGGCGGCCCGGCTGGCCCAGGGGGAGCTGACAGGCTGATGAGGGAAAGAGAATAATACAGATGACCACAACTTAGAGAAGGGCAGGGCGCAGGCCCACCTGTGCTGGAGGGAAGGGAAGGCTCCGGGTGAGGTTGGAATGGACTGTACCCGATGAGTAAGGAAGGGAGGTGCGCTCGGCAAGCCAGTGTGGTACTCAGAGGCTGGGTAGCGGAAAGAGCTGGTGGCTTCAGTGCAGGGCCCATTAATGATGGGTAAGGAAGGTGGAAGGGACGTGGAGGAGGCGGGGCTGGGCCTGGGCCTTAATAAAGGAATGTCTCGTGTGCCAGTCCAAGGAGCTTAGGCTCTTGAAGGAGACTGGGGCTCAGTGGCCCTGGCCTGAGTGGTCCCACAGCTGTAGCCTGGTGACCAAGATCACCAACTTTGGAGCCGGCCTGTTTCCACACCCCACCCCCAGCTGTGTGACTGTGGGCCTTGGGGTCCTTACCTCCCGCTTAATAACCCCATCGGCTCCTGGGATGGTTGTGTGGACTGCTGGCCTTTCGGTCTCTGAAAGGCACTTGTACTTTGTGACTTCTGTTGGGCCTGGGGTTTTCTGCTCAGCACATTCTAGCTCTCTGCTGCTTAGACTCCCCGTGCATGGTCTCCGGGAGCCTTCAAGGGGTTTTACGTTGAGGGTGGCATGCTTAAACGGCCTTTTGTTTTTTTTTTTTAATAGAGGCATGCTTTATTTATTTATTTATTTGTTTGTTTGTTTGTTTTTTTGTTTATACAAGCACTGGGTACAGTCAGAAGCGCGAGAGGGTAAGAGAATTCACCAGAGCCAGAGCGGGGAGCAGAGCAGGCAGAAGGACCGAAGTACACTGCTGAGGGGAGCAGCGGGCGGCAGGAGAGGTCTGCGCGCCATGCGGGACCCTCCTCCGGTGGCCGGGGAGCAGCCGGGGATCGAACCGGCGCCGCAGAGGCTGCGGGCAGCTTCGCAACCCAGCGCTCAACTGCTGCGCCACCGGGGAGGCCCGGCCTTTTGTTTTAAATTATGCATACAAGAACTGGGGTACAGGCCAGAGGTGCGGGGGGTTAGAGGATTAACCAGAGATAGAGTGGAGAGCAGAACAGGCAGACTGACTGAAATACACTGCTGAGGGGGCAGCAGGAAGACAGAAGAGGTCTGCTGTACCATGTGGGTAGCTCCCTGGGCGGGGATCAAACTCATGCCGCAGTGGCTGCAGATTGCTTCATAGTGCTGTGCTTAACCCTTTGTGCCACCAGGGAGGCCCTCAAACAGCCTTTAACACCTCAACCACCATCCCTGAGGGTGGGATTGAGCTGAGGGAGGTTAGAGGCAAGAAGACTATCAGAAGTTCTACACTGAAAATGAGCAAACGGTTGTGCTTTGCATGAAACTATTTAGACCCTGACTTGGCGAAGATTTCCCAGGATAATTTCTGTTTCCATTCAAGAAAACTAATCTGGGGCCTCCCTGGTGGCGCAGGGGGTTAAGATGCAACCTATGAAGCTATCCATAGCCACTGCAGCATGAGTTTGATCCCCGCCCAGGGAGCAACCCACATGGCCTAGCAGACCTCTCCTGTCTCGCCCGCTGCTCCCCTCAGCAGTGTATTTCAGTCAGTCTGCCTGTTCTGCTCCCCACTCTGTCTCTGGTGAACCCTCTCACCACCCCACCCACACCTCTGGCCTGTACCCCAGTTCTTGTATGCATAAATAAATAAATTTTTTAAAAAGCAACAAAAGACTTGGTGGAGACTGGCTTAACCCGAGAAGACACTGCTTGTTCACCTCAGGGAACATCCAGAGTGTGGACAGCTGGGCTGCAAGTGAGAAGAGGCTGCAACGGCTTCCCGGCGAGGGTTGTGTGGCCTTTTTGTCTCTGCTCTACCCTCCTGGGCCCCTGCTTCCTCTCTGTGGTCTCCTTAGCTGTCACCAGATGGCTCTGCTTCACTTCTCCCGTCCAGCTAGGGCCCTGAGAGAAGCACTTCCCTTCACATTGAGCTGGTCAGCCCCACGCTGCCTCAGCCATAGAGCCACCCCACCCTTCCTGGTCAGTCTGTTGAAGAGAAGGTGGAAGTAGCTCTCAGGCTGGCTGCTGCCGCCACCACCCACTGCCCTTCACGTGCCCCGAGACTGCGCTTTAACTTTTTATTGGCTTTCTGACCTCTCATTCCATTTCCCTGTGCGCCCATTGCTGAACAGAGTCACCTGGTTGCCAAGAACGTAAGCTTTCGAGTGAGACCACCCAAGTCCTCGCCTAGCTCCCTGCTAGCCTGTGCCCTGTGCCCTCCGTGAGCTCCTCAACCTCCATGAGTCTCCATTTCAGCTGTTTATTTTTCTGTCGACTCTGCACATGACGTCATGGAGGATTCAGCGCCGCCCCCGGGCCTGCCACATGCACTTGCGTGGCCAGAGCTCTGCTTTGAACGTGTCCTTCTTTCCTGTTTGAATGTAGAGTGAAAATAAGATCCCCACCAGAAGCTGGTACCCAGTTACCGAAGATCTTTGTGAACAAGGATGAGAAAGTCCTTGGGCAGCGCCAGGAGTCCGGGGGTGGCCCCCCTGCTTCAGCACACAATCAGACCCAGAAAAAGACAGGTAAGCTGCACGGGGGAGCGAGTGCTTCCTTTCCGCCCCGCTTTGTGGATTCCTTATTGTTCCTGAGCACAAACATAGTCTTAGCATTATCTTTTTTTTTTTTTTTTTTTAAGATTTATTTATGCATACAAGAACTGGGGTGTAGGCCAGAGGTGCAGGGGGTGAGAGGATTCACCAGAGACAGAGTGGGAAGCGGAAGAGGTGGATCTACTGAAATACACTGCTGAGGGCAGCTGCGGGGAGACAGGAGAGGTCTGCTGCGCCATGTGTGTAGGTCCCTGGCCAGGGATCGAACTCGTGCTGAGACTTAACCCCTGAGCCACCAGGGAGGCCCTCCTATGAAAAGTATCTTAAGTGAAAATAGGCATAGAATGCCTTCTTGTTCCGTGAAAGAAGACATTAACCTCAACACTTGTTGCTGTGGAAAAAGCATGCATTAATGCTCGTATTATTTGCTGTTTATTTTTCTGTGTGTATAAATAAATCTGATATATTTTTAGAAACAATCTGTTTTCAAATGTAATTTGTTTAGGAAGCAAGGAAAGTCACTCCAGGTGGCGTCTCTGGATGCTACCACTCACACTCGGCCACTCAGAGACGAGCCCCTGGGTACTAAATGAGGTTATTTGTTAGATTGCGTCAGTGATGTGACGGGTCCACCTTTGCCACTTACTGTAGCTCAGGGTTGTTTTGGGGTTTGAAGAGATGGTGGTCCACAGGACAGCAGAGGGCCTTGCCTTTTTCTTTTAATCTGTTATTAGACAAGCTAGGCCGCAAAAAGTGACGCAGTGGCAGATAGCAGTGGGGTCCTGCGGTAATACTTTTCTGTTTCTGCTTCTAGGTGATGAGAAGTCTAAAGGAAGCACAGTGGATTCAAAGGTAAGAACTAGCCACTCACTTCACTTGTGCTCAGCTCTTCTGGGTGTGTGCGTGTGTCACATGGAGTGTATTTACATACACAGGAATGTACAGTGCCCCCCCCCCACATTACACACACACACACACACACACACACACAGAGCAGTTGTGCAGCAGGCTCAGATAGTGAGGGGAGAAGGAAGCTGAGCCCTCTGAAAGATGTCACCAGGCCTGAGCTTGAAGTTGGTGGATCTGTGTGAAGAAGGGGGAGAAGGGGCGGTGGTGAAGATGTCACTGCCAGGAAGGTGGGAACGAGCCTGATGGGAGTTGGGCACTACCTGTTTTGAAGGCAGAGGTATGTGTTTGGGAGCGAGAAAGGGCTCTTAGATGACCTGGTGCCGAGCAGCAGGGGGTGTTGGTGCACAGGAAGCAGGAATTTGTCATGGGCTTGTGACGAGGAAAGCAGGTGACCCAGGTGGTGTGCAGGTGGCAGACTCTTGTTTTAATTGTCATACAGTAGACTGTGGTATTTAAAGCGACATTCTGGTGAGTTTTGACTTATGGGTACATCTGTGAAACCACCCCCACAATCCAGATAGTGAACATACCCTCACTCTAGAAGTTTTTCCTGCCCCTGTGCCATCCTCCTATCTCCAAGCTACCACTGACCTGTCACAATAGATTAGTTTTATAGAACTTTGCACAGATGAATTGTGCAGTACATGCTCCTTTCTGTCTCCTGGCATTCAGTGTGATTATTCAGAGCACAGCCCTGCAGTTAGGGTATTGGCTGTTCACTGCTTTTTACTGATGAATGGTGCCAAGGGCAGTGTGTGGGTCATTTGGATGGGGACCGGAGCTCAGTGGTGGATGTGTCGGGGTGTGACCGGGTGTGGCGCTCCCAGTCTTGCTGAAGATGTAGCCCAGGGAAGTGCTGTGGCAGGGAGAGGAGCTGGGAATAGGGTTAATACAGAGGCAGAATTGACAGCTGAGAAAAGGAAACGGGAGAAACTACCATTCCCCTCTGTGAAAGGGGTTTTCAGACTTCTTGAAAGAGTGTTTGAAATCAGAGTGTTTTTGGAAGGACAGCAAATTTAGGTTTTAAAACACTATTTTTACATTTAAATTTTAATTAACATGATTTCCTTCCTGTATCATCCTAAAATAGATTGTTCTGTCTTTTTAGGCAATGGGAGAGAAATCCTTTTCTATTCACAATAGTAATGGGGCAGTTTCATTTCAGGTATGTATTCTTGTTTGAATAAAGTTTCACAAGATTTCTATCTACAGTATAAAAGGGAGAATTCATTCAGGGATTTTGCATGGGGGAGTAGCATGATTCGGCAGGCCCTTCTCGCTGCGTGGCAGGTCTCCCCTGGCACGCCTGCAGGTGCACCCTGACCAGACCGGAGGTTTCCCCGAGTGAGTAGCTCGTGGATGTCCCGGTAATTAATTGACTCAACCCAGATTCCAGCCCAGTTCTGCCTGGCTATCCCCACAACTCCTCTCCTCTCATTCAGAATGTGCCAGAAGCACAGAAATCCACTGCTGAAAGGACCATTGGCAGTCACTAGGATGACTGAGTCCTGAGTGACCTGCCAGCTCTCCCCTGTACCTGCACATGAGTGTCCTCAGAAGCCACCCAGCTTAATTTCTTCCTCCTTCAAGTCTTTGCTCAAATGTCACCTCCTCAGCAAAGCTTCCAGTTGCCCTATTTTGAATACAGCACGCTCCTTCCCTCCCCTGCTCTGCCTTTGCCCCTGGCAGTGAGCCCCGAGCAGCACTGCTGTAGTGTTTATTGCCTGCCTTTACCTTCAGGAGGTAGCTTAAAGGGCAGGGACTTCTCATCTGTGTGACTCTGATATGTGTGAACTGCCTGGTCTCGGGCCTGGCCCCAGCGGGCTCTCCATCAGTGACTGTGGAGACGAGTGAGTGGACGCAGGCTGGGCCCTGTGCTGAGAGCGTGCGGTATTGTCTCAGATCATCCTTGCAGCGACTCTGTGATGTAGGTGCTGTTGTTGTTCCTCTTTTACCGATGAGGAAACAGCCTCGGAGAGCTTAAATAATGTGGATTCACTCTGAGGTTGGTCTGCCTCCAAGGCCGAGGCGTTGAATTACTTTGCTTTACTGCCTTCGTAAGGAAGTGCCGGTGCTTGTCGGGCGTCCCTCCGGCCCGTCGGTGCCTGTGCAGCTGCCTCTCCTTTTCTTTTTCCTTTTTGTAGTAAACCTGTCCTTTTAAATGTACACGCACGTTTAAATGTTTTTGTGAAGTCCCAAAGGAGGGCCCCGTAGGGTAGACCGTGGCTGCCACCCCTGCTTCTGTCAGCAATCGGAGGGGGCAGGTTGCTCTTCTCTGGCCCCCCATCCTTAAAGAGGTCAGCGGGGGCTCCCTGCTGCCCCCTCCTTAGTTCCCTCCCACTTTTGGACAGCTTTGTCCCTCCTGTGCCACCCAGTGTCCGGCACTCACAGTTCATCCACCCCAAGGCCGAAAGGGACTGCCAGGGCCTGTCCCAGCTCTCAACTGTGCGTTCTGGCCTTTTGGTGTCTTTAGGTGTCAGGTGCAGCTCTACATGGTGGTTCTATTGGTTTTTAAGATATGTGTGTTAGCAATATCACAGGGGTCTATAATTGGTGAGTTTAGAAGCGTTTCTTTCCCTGCCTGTCCTCTGGACGGAAGCGCGTTCATGTTGATAGCATGAGTCGGTTTAGAGACGGTGATTCAGCCTGAGGAGTCTTGGCCTTTTATTTCCATCTTTTTGTTAGATCTCTCTTTCCTCCCCACCCCATCCTCTTAACTTGTGAGGTACAGTGACCATGCAGAGGGGTGTGTGTGTAGTTATGTTTGTTGGGCACAGATAGTCATAAATATCACCTTTGTAACCATCACCCTGGGCAAGAAATAGAGCTCGCACCCCAGGATCCCCGCCCTGGTCCCTCACGTCCTTCCCCAACTGCCTAGTCGCCCTGTGAGGCAAGTGTTAGCACCCCACCCTGATGGTGGTGTCCTGTCTTTGCCTCTGTGTAGTCTACTCTCTGTCTAAAAGCCCTCAGCAACACATCTGAGGCAGATTTCTTTCCACTGCTACCTTTTTTTACTGTTCACAATCAAATCTTTAGACTTGAGCACAGAGCCATAGGTTGTGACCTTCGTAAGTATGTATGTGTCATTGGAACATGTGAAAAGTGAAAACCATAGAAAAATGTCCAATGGGGAAAACAGCCCATTAGGTGCAGGCATCGGTGAGGGAGTGGCAGCCTCCACCTTTTCAGCTACCCGACGGGCCTCCCTCCTACGCCAGGAAGGCTTTTTACCTAAAGGGCAAAATTACACGTTGGCTTGAAAACTGGGTGAGTGCGTCTTGGGTGCCTCTCTGGAGACCATCCCGGAGGGTGATGCGTGGTTGGCGAGTGTAGTGAGATGTCGGTTGTGGGACCCCAGAGCAGGGCAGGAGCTGGCGCTGTGCATCCTGTCAGCTTCCCTGCCTGCTCGGAAATGCACATTGGGAGAGAATCAGAATTAAGAGCACATCTGTGTAAGTTCTGTTCTGGGAGAATTTCATTGGGGGGCTTTTTGTTCCTTCTGTCCAGAGTACCTTGATCTATTTCGTAGATTTCAAAATGGAGCCGAGGATCACGTGCCCTAACATTCTTCCTTCTCTGCTTTCAGTTTTCTTTTAACATCAGCACCGACGACCAGGAGGGGCTCTACAGCCTTTATTTCCATAACTGCCTCGGAAATGAAATTCGGTCCAGTGACAAGTTCTCGTTCAGCCTTGACGTGAGTACTGCGTGCCACCCCCCCCCATGGGTTCTGTTAACTGTGTAAAAGCGATATATTTCTTTCTTTATAAGAAGTTTTTGTTTTTGTTTTTTTAAAGATTTATTTATTTATGCAAGCACTGGGTACAGTCAGAAGCGCGGGAAGGTGAGAGAATTCACCAGAGCCAGAGCGGAGAGCAGAACAGGCAGAACAACAAAACACACTGCTGAGGGGAGCAGCGGGTGGCAGGAGAGGTCTGCGCGCCATGTGGGACCCTCGCCTGGCGGCCAGGGATCTAACCGGCGCTGCAGAGGCTGCGGGCAGCCTCGCAACCCAGCACTCAACCGTTGCGCCACCGGGGAGGCCCCAGTTTTTTTTTTTTTAAGATTTATTTATTTATGCATACATGGACTGGAGTACGGCCAGAGGTGTGGCGGGTGAGGGGATTCACCAGAGAGAATGGGGAGCAGAACAAGTGGATCTACTGAAATACACTGCTGAGGGGAGCAGGGGGCGAGGCAGGAGAGGTCTGCTGCGCCATATGGGTCAGCTCCCTGGCTGGGATCAAATTCAGGCTGAAATGGCTATGGATTGCTTCATGGTGCTGCAACTTAACTCCTTGCGCCACCAGGGAGGCCCCCTCTATAAGAAAAGTTTTTAGAATACCTAAGCGGAGTAAGAGAAGCGGAGACCAGAAGGGTCTCCCTGCTGCTGGGCAGGACACTGCCGCGCAGCTTCATAAGCCAGAGCCATAAAGCCACTCAGGACGCGTTTGTGCTTCAGCTGCACATGTCATCTGCTGGCGTTCACGTTGTGATGCTTAAGAGAACCAGCGAAGATTCCAGCTGGCCCGATGGGCATGATCTGTTCCTGGAAAGTAAAAACCGTTTCATGTTGGTTTCAGATTGACATCATGGAGAAGAACCCCGATAGCTACCTCTCAGCAGGAGAAATTCCTCTTCCTAAATTGTACATTTCGATGGCCTTTTTCTTTTGCCTTTCTGGGACCATCTGGATTCACGTTCTTCGAAAACGACGGTACGTCATCGCCTGCTCACACCCTTCCACTCGGGCATCCGAGATTTCTGTCATTTCACCTTTTGCTGACTTCCTGGCCCGGGAGAGATCGGCACTAACCATCCATTCTCTTCAGAGGGCATCTTCCCCGAAGCATGCGGGTCTGGGCGGGGCCTGGGGAAGCCCTTACCTTGCCTCGCTGTCCTCTTCCCATTGCTTTGCACCAAAAGCAGATCCCAGTATTTCAGTAGCTACAAGCAAAGTGAAAGGTGTAAGCCAAGTATTTCCGTGGGGAAGACCCTGCCGACCCAGACTCAGAGTGAACATGTTGGGCCCCTTCGAGGGCTATTTGTTCTCGAGAGATCACTGACCGTGACTGCCCGCCGGGAGAGCGCGGCTGCTGTTAGCACTGTGGACACCAGCCCAGAGGCTGGCCGAGCGGGCACTGGCCAGAGGGCTTCTCCCTGGAGCACCACACCTCTTCACAGCCGCCTCCCTGGCTCCTGCCTCTTCTGAAACCTCTGAGGCTTGAACTTCCTGTGCTTGCTTCTCTAGTGGAGCTAGTGCGCAAGTGAGCTCTCCGCTGCCCTCCCAAGAACGTTGGGAACAAAACAGTAATTTTCAGTGAGGGAATAGTGTGAAGCGTTTGCTGTGTTTTAAGGCCCATAAACTGGAGGCTGGCCTGTGACTGTGGCATTGTTCTTACAGGTTAATTTAAATTCATACCATAAGTATCTCCCAAATACCAATGACCTTGTCCCCAGGAGCACCGGGACGGGAATCGAGGCCGCTTTAGTCCCGGGCCCGGGTGTCTTCTGGTGGCCGTCATCGCTGGGGCGTGGGGCTGGCCTGGGGAGTGGCTGGGCCCGTGGGCAGTCATGCCCTCTGCAGGCCCAGATGGAAAGAGCGCCTGGTGTCTTGTGAAGGACCTTACGTAATTGTGTTTGGACTAGAGAGTCAGGCAGCTGTGAATAAGAAGAAATGTCTCCTACAAATTAAGCCTATAAAAAAGGTTTTGTTAAAGAAAGTTTTGCTTTTGCCTTTATTAGAAAGTCAGAACTAGGAGCCAGCCTGTGCGCCTTGCCACCCACGCCTCTGTGCTTGGCCACTGCACTGGGGCGATAGCCCTGTCTGCCTCAGAGTCTGAGCTTCTTGGGCGGTTATGTGATTCCCCTCTAAATAATGGCTTTGCAAATCAGGGCGCTATGCAAATTCAGGGCCCTTACAAGTGGGTAACTAATTTACTGGCTGCTTGCTGGTACATTAATTTCCCTTTATTTAGTGATACAAGAGGCACTGTCTCTGGTCCACTTTTATAGAATATGATAGAACTTAAAATCTGTGGTTAAATGGGGCTGACCTATTTTGCAGAAGTTTTTGACTTCCTTTTGAAGTGGGGTGTGCCTACAGAAATGTGCTGTTTAAGCCCTTCACCCCTTCCCTATGTATTTCCGGGAGTCCTACAGCTGGTTCTGTTGGAGATTTGAACCAAGGACGTGACTGCAAGGCTGCTGGGGAAGCTGGTAGCCTCTAGAGCTGGTAGGAAGTGAAAGATCTTGGCCTCCTTTTATTGAGCCTTGAGTGGGGGAAGTGAGAGACAAGGCCGAGTCAGCTGACAGGGCTGGAACCCACATCCACTGCTAGCCTGGGCCCCAGAGCATGGAGGGGACTGGGGGAGAGGGGCGGGAGAACTAGCAGCCTCTGGCTGTTGAGGCCTGCTCTCTGCCTAGTCGGGCACTTCCTTCCTGTCGCTTAGTTCGGCTAATCTCCCCCTCCTTCAGATGGGTGTTGCCTGTTTTCAGCAGAGGTTCCTGGGACTTAGGGAGCTTGGGGTCTCCAGGGTTGAGGCTGGCTGTGGCTTCAGAGCTGAGCTCCCGCCTTCACAGCACCACCCAGTGTCTGTGTTGAACGGGGGCTGCGAGCTGGGTGGCCTGGGGCGGGAGTGAGCCCCACACTGATGTTTTGTGCTTTGGGGAAGTTTTGTACTTAGGGGAAATCTCGGGGCTGCTCCAGGTATCAGACTCTTCAGGCCTTCACTTCCTTTTTGACCTTCAAGTAGATAGGCACTGGCCAAGAAAGTACCCGGCAGGAAATGGGCCTGGAAGCTGAGTGTCAGCTGATGACACAGGCCCCCCTCATCTGCCATGCCAGCCCACCCGCTTGAGCCTGACCCCCCTGCCCCCCGGAACCCCCAGCCCCCCCTACAGGCGCCCAGGGGATGGAGGCGGGTTCTGGATAGTCACATTTTCTTACAGATGAATCGTGCTTGTCCTGTAGCCATGCATTTTGATTCTCCCAAACCGTACTGTGAACTGTACCACACTGTAGATGTTCCTATTCTCCACACAGCAGCATCCAAGATCTCGTCCCATCGTTGTATTTACATAAGTGTCCTAAGTGCTTTGCCCTCCAGGGTATGTGGCCCATGTTGCACTCCCCTGCCCTTAGTGAGTCCCCCTCGATTAATTCTGTCCTCTGCTCCCCCAAACAATGCTGCCATGTCCGCCCTCCTCCTGTCCCCTCATGCTCTGTGTGGCCTCTGAGCTGTGTTCCCAGAGCTGTGCTGGTGGTGGGGGGGGTTTGAAGTGCTCCCCAGAGTGCCTCCCGTGCACTGCTCCCTGTGTCTGGGCCTGTTGGCCCGTGCTCTCGCCCCCGACATCATCTTTGTCTTGCTGGCCCGTGTGAGGAGTGAGCACTGGGGCCTCGATTCCTTGCACATTTCCTCTGAACACTGGAGCTGCGGGCTCTCTGGGAAGGAGCGTGCTCACCATGTGGGCCTCCTCTTGTGACCTCCTGTGTTCTTGGCATCTGTTTCTGTTGGGTTTTGTCTCTGTGCTTTGCTTTGCCTGAGTTGCTTGCATATTTTGGACCTCAATCCCTTGTCTGTCTTAGACATTGCGCGTTTCTTCTTCCAGTTAAACTTGTCTGCGGCCTTCATTGTTGGACGGAAATCTTTCCTCTTGATGGAGTCAGCTGACTAATTTTAGTCCTTTGGACACTGCCTCTTGCATCTTGAGAAGCCCTTTCCTGCTCCAAGATGACAAAGCGTGTGTTTTACACATAGCCGTCCGAGTCCCCTTGTGGAAGTGGAGACCCAGCTCCCCTCCCTCCCTGCAGGTTTGGGCACCTTTCCCGTGCTGATGATTCAACAGTCCTTGGTCCCACAATTTGGTGTCACCTTCTGTCCGTCCCCACGTGGCTGTTCCTTAGCTGCTCGCGGGTCTGTTGCTGGGTTGATCATCTGTGCCCTTCCTTGCCATGCTCTGTAGCCGTGACCTGATGGAGGGCCTTGATGGCGGAGCACGTGCGTTCCCCTTGAGTCATCCTCCCATCTTTGTTCTGTTACTAGAGTCACAGTGTTCTCCATAATGGTCTCGCAGTGTCCTGTCAGGGGCGTTCCGAGCAGGAAGGGGAGTTTAATGCTTGGTGAAAGGGTGGCCGGCCCATGTAGAGGCATGAGAAGGGGCTGTATCCCACTGGCCTGGGTTATTGGGCAGGATCCATCCATGAGGGTGTACCACCCCAGCTTTCCCTTTGGCCACCCTACAGCCCCTTCAACCCTCCCTTTCTCCAGACTGCAGATCTCCCTCAGGGTGGGGCCTCAATGCTGGGTCCTCAGGGTCCCCAGCTCTCCTGGCTCTGCGCTTCTCACCTGGTGTTGTCGCCTCCTCCTCGCATGATACAGTGGAGGTGCTTCAGGCTCTGCTCGAAACCATTTTTTATGTGCAGAAACTTTGCCAAAAAGATTTTTTTTTTTAAAGATTTATTTTTATTTATTTATACAAGTACTGGGTACAGTCAGAAGCGCGGGAGGGTGAGAGAATTCACCAGAGCCAGAACAGGCAGAAGGACCGAAGTACACTGCTGAGGGGAGCAGCGGGCGGCAGGAGAGGTCTGCGTGCCATGTGGGACCCTCCTCTGGAGGCCCAGGGAGCAGCCAGGGATCGAACCGGTGCTGCAGAGGCTGCGGACAGCTTCGCAACCCAGCGCTCAACCGCTGCGCCACTGGGGAGGCCCAAAAGATTTTGTAAGAAAGTGAAAAAGGCTGCTGTTTGTAGTTGGCTGAGGTAGTGCTTCCTACCTCCTAGTGATGCCTGGGGCTCCAGCTGTGCTTTGAGAACCTAGAATATTCCTTTAATTACTTTTTGTCTGTTCCCTTAGGAATGATGTATTTAAAATCCACTGGTTGATGGCGGCCCTACCTTTCACCAAGTCTCTCTCGTTGGTGTTCCATGCGGTATGTGCCAATATTTTGGGGCTATTTATAAAATGATGTACAGTGCCCATATGACCAGGAAAAACAAAGTAGAGGACATGATAGATTATGGGAAGGTAAAGATGAAAGAGCGTCTTTCTCATGAAGCCTCCAGCTGCCATGGGGGTAAATCACCACAGCTCCTCAGACCAGACCTCAGACCGTTTCTGGTGTCACCCACAGACCTGGCGTTCCCCCATCTCTTGTTTCTGTGGTGGTGCTATTGTTTATTTTTGTTACTTCTTGAGATTAGAGTGCCACCTACTGAATTGATCCCAGCACTTCCGGTATTTTTCTAAATATCCCCTATGTTCCCATCTGAGTTGAAGTTCAGTGTTGACTTCTCTTACTGGGAGGAAACGGGGCCTCTACAGATTGAGACATAAGAATTGAGCTTGAGCTTTGACCGTTTAGCCCTTGGGAGTGAGTCCCTAGGGGTCCCGGAGCACACTTGTGAGGGTTGGTCTCCAGACCCCTCCTGCACCTCAGAGGGTGCTGGGGGAAAGGTGTCTCCAGCTCCAGCTGCAGGGAGTGGCAGGTGTTCAGACAGCTCCCCATTCAGGGCTCCTTGGGGAGACGGGAACCGTATTGATAATGACGCGTAAGATGTTGGAGGCACTGGGAGTTCTAGGTGGCCATTTGTGAGAGAAGAACAAATTGAATAAATTGAGCCTCACCTCGCCAGGAGGCGTAAGGACGTGCCGCTGAAGCCTGTCACTCGGCGGCTTCGAGGAGCTCTGGACTTGCAGGAGGTTTTCAGAGAACCCTGTTGAGCTGGGTGACCCCATGCAGGTTTTTCACGGGCCTGCTGTTGTGTGGGCAGCAGGGGCGGGAAGGAACGCGGTGCCCGGCAGGGCCCCGAAAAGACCCGTGGTGCTCTGACCTGGGCTTTGTTAAGAAGAACGTAGGTGAACTGAGGATGGTGGTGACTCTGAAACCTGCCACCAGCTGTCTTGGCTCCCTGGCATTTGCGCGCGGCTCACGCTTGACTGTGACTCGGCCAGGAGGCATCGGGTCCTCCCCTCACGAGGTTCTCCACTGGCGCGTGCCCCGTGACTCACTGAGACTGTTTGTTGCAGATCGACTACCACTACATCTCGTCCCAGGGCTTCCCCATGGAGGGCTGGGCCGTCGTGTACTACATCACTCACCTGTAAGTGCCCATGGTCCCTGACAGGTGCCATACTGGCAGCAAGTGGGGGAGCCAGCAAGAAGAGGCCTGCCCCGTGGGTCGCCCTATCCTCCCTGGCAACCTATGGCAACCTATGGAGGCTGACATAGGCCCCCCTGGAGCACTGCAGTTGTCCACGCTTGTGGCCATGCTCCTTCCTGCAAGGGGTGCCTCCCTGTGGGGGTTGGCTGCCTGGGTTTTGGAGTGTGGAGCTGTTTGCATGCCCAGAATGAAGTGTTGCCCACTTCAGGCGCCTCCTGCCTTGTACGGGCAACACATGAGAGAGTGAGCACTGAACTCGGGCAGGGTCTGGAGAGCCCACCGGCGTCTGCATGTCTTCTCTCTTCCAGCTTGAAAGGGGCGCTGCTCTTTATCACCATCGCGCTCATAGGCACTGGCTGGGCGTTCATCAAGCACATCCTTTCTGATAAAGACAAGAAGATCTTCATGATTGTCATCCCGCTCCAGGTACAGGGCCCACCCACATCTGCTTGTCCTGCTCTGTCGGGCTCTCAGCAGGCGCAGCTTCAGGCTGATCCAGGAAGAGGGGTGACTCGCCCTTAAGCCCCAGCTATGGCCATGGTGGGGGCTGAAGACTGGGATTCTGATTCTGACTGAGTGGGACGCTGGTCGTAGCCATGGGGGTGCTTAACGCCCAGTGATCTTCACGCTGGCATGTGGACACCCATGTTTGTAGAGAGCTGCTGAAAACTGGGGGGTGCATGCAGCCTACCTTCTGGGTCCATTTTTGTTTTTTAAAGATTTATTTATTTATGCATCGAAGAACTGGGGTACAGTTCAGAGATGTGGGGTGTGTGTGCGAGGATTCACCAGAGACAGTGGGGACAGAACAGGCAGATCTACTGAAATACACTGCTGAGGGGAGCAGCGGGTGAGGCAGGAAAGGTCTGCTGTGCCATGTGGGTCAGCTCCCTGGCCGGGAATCGAACTCGTGCTGCAGTGACTGTCGATGCTTGACAGTGCTGTGTCTTTAACCCCTGCGCCACCAGGGAGGCCCCCTCTGGGTCCATTTACCCTGTGACAAAGCGTCCTTTTAGCAAAGAGGCTGAGCTGTTCGTGGTGACTTTATTAACAAATTATTTTAAAACTGTGAAAATGACACCAGTGAGTTTGCACACGGAGAATATTAAGTAGATGTTGGGCGAACATTTATTCCAGCCTTGTGTTGAGGGGCGGGGGGGCCCTGTGCCCTGTGTGTGGCCTGCCTCACTAGGCTGGGGCCCTCAGGAGAGGAACCTCGTCTCATGTAGAACAGTCTTAATGGAGGCAGAGCATGGAGAACTCACACGGACAAGCCCTGTGCTCTGCCTGACTTAAGAGCATATGTCTGATGAAGTTGTTCTCGTCAGCTGGTCTCACATCGGGGGCAAGGGGTGAGGCAGGCCCTCAGCTCAGCCCACTCAGCTTTGGAGATGGCGGGTCCACATTTCCAGCACAGCCACCTTCGTGTCCCAGAGTGGGAACATGTCAGCATTGAAGGAATGTCCTGACCAGTGGTGGGAGGAGTAGAGTGATCGCCCAGGTTGGAATGATCTGGACAGTTTTTGGTAGAAATGGGCCTGGCCTACATGTTGAAAGAAAGAAACAGGACAGAGGCCGAGAGGTACAGCAGAGACAAGAGCACCTTTTGTGGAGTGCAGACAGGATGGCAAGGAATTGGGGGTCCCGCCTGCTGAGCCGAACCTGGCGAATTCACCGGCCGTCACTGTTCCTTCCCTCACGCTTTCTTCTAGCCAGGAATTCGGGAGCAGCTTAACTGGGTGACTCTGCATTGTCTCCTGGGCTGGGAAGACCTGATTCAGTGGTGTGGAAACAGCTGAGGCCACCTCCCCACCTCTCTCCCTCTTCCTCTCTCTCTCCCTCCCTCCCTCCACCCCCGCTAGTCACTCTCCCACCCCCAGTTTCCAGTGTGCTGCCTGACTCAGTCTTTACAAGGAGGCTCAGGCCGCCAAAGGTGTGTGTCCTGAGAGGGCGCCAGGTAGAGCGGTCTCCTCTGTATGCCCTTGCCTGCCATGGAGTCACAGGGCTCGTCTCTGAGCAGGCATGAGGTGGGCACAGGGCTGCTGCTTGCTGGGCGAGTGGAGAGGGCTAGAGCTCATGGGCTGGAAGCCAGGCCATGACCGTAGGGTGGAGGCCCAGTGTCCACCCCATTAGTGTTAAAGTCCGCACTTGCTCTGGGCCTCAGCGCCTTCTCGTGTTCCATAGGTCCTGGCCAACGTGGCCTACATCATCATAGAGTCCACTGAGGAGGGCACGACGGAGTACAGCTTGTGGAAGGATTCCCTCTTCCTGGTTGACCTGCTGTGCTGCGGGGCCATCCTCTTCCCTGTGGTGTGGTGAGTCTGCCCCACCCGCCGCTGACGCCACCCTTCCCGACCTGGCCCAAGTCACCTGTTAAAAGCACAGCTTCCTGGGGCCCAAACTGACCAGAATCTGACTCCAGGGACAGGACCCTGGGATCTGTGTCCTTATCAGGTCCCCCCCCCCAGGGTCTGATAAGCTAGTCTGGCATCAAAGCTGGCAGTGTAGACATAGGAAGAGTCTGGAAATGGGAACTTAGTAGCAGCATAAAATAGAAGGGAGAGCGTTGAAGAAATCCCATAAATGGCCTTTTCTTGCCCAGTCGACTGGAAGGTGAGGAGGTTCATTCACCTAAACTCGTGCTAGCTCAGACAGTCTTTCCCTTGGTGCCTTTGAACTCTACCTGGAACCCCCGCCTGCATCTTCTTGAATAATGTTGCATTCACCTGCCCGAGCTGTAATGACAGTAATTAGCAGCACCCCAGCCAGAAAAGACTCCCTCCCTGGAGGCCCACCTGGCTCAGCCAAGTTAGAACTCTCCAGGCAATGAAATGTCAGCTTTGCATGAAGCCATAGGTCTGCCTGCTAGGTCTGGACTGGAGAAGTCCAGGTGACCTTTTGGGGTCCGCGTTCTCCTGGGTGCCAGAGGTCAGCGAGGGTGCACTGCCTCGAGTAGTGGGTGGAGCGGTGAGGCGGGAGAGCAGGATCCTGCGTCTTAGTTTTTGTCCTCGCCTAGGCCCCTGTTTTGGTCAGCTAGATGTGGCCAGCAGAGGGCGGGCTCTGGAGTCTGGGCCTGAGGCCCACTTGGAAGTGCTGCCCCAAAAGCCACCCTCTGGTGCAGCAGCCTCCAGTCTGACCCCTGCCGTGCATCAGCAAGGGACACTAGGCTGCGACTCTCTGGAGCGGAGCAGTGGAGTGGAGACTGTTAGCTAATCTTTTGTTCTCTGAATGTTTTATTTTTAGGTCCATCAGACATTTACAAGAAGCTTCAGCAACCGACGGAAAAGGCAAGTCCCTCTGTTCCTTCTCCGAATCCCCAGGGCTCTCCTGGGAGCTAGAAGAGGCTTAGGACTGGGAGACCTGGGGATTGCAGCCAGCGGGGGGTGCAGAGGCAGGTGTTAAGTGTTGGGGAGACTACTTGTCTTTGGGGGCTTGGTTGGTGGTGGCGGCTATGGCTGACTCACGGCAGTCCCACTCGTGAGCCTGGTTTTCTCCTTTGCAAACTGAGTCAGGAGGAGAAACCCATGTCTTGGAAGGCCAGATAGCACCTCTCCATGCGACAGGAGCTGTTACGTATGGATCGGGGCAGACTGTGCGTCAGGCACCCTTCCTGCTGATTTAACACGCTTCCAAAATAGATGTGTCGGGATTCATTTAAAGCGAGACTAGCCCACAGAGCACCTTTCAGGTCCTGAGTTTTCAGTGGCGGTGCCATGGTGCCCTTTCTGCTTCTTGATTTTTCCAGCTGTGCCTCCCAGGTTAGAAAAGAAACCGCCCGCAGATGCTTTGTGAGTTTCTAGGCCTGTTGGAATACTGTCCTCACCCACAGGTTGCTGTGGCCCCATGGGTATTTCGGGACTCAGGTGGGGAGCAGTGCGCTCTTGGGGGTTGGCGCTGCCTCCAAGCCCCTGAAGTCACCTACCCTGCAGGTAGTCAGCTCTTGAGGGCCACTCTTTCTCAGGTACCTGCTAATAAAGTAACGTGGATTCATTTTAGAACATTTGGAAGATGGGTGATAGGTCTGGTTCTCATTTCACACTTGCTCCAGAGCTAATACCACACTGTAGTCTTCAGGAATTAAACCTGACTTCTAGGCTCCGTGCCAGTGTCAGGCAAGGCCCCCATGTTCTTACTTAAAAAGAGCACTGTTCTGGGAGGCCCCTTTGGCCCACAATGATTACCCTGAGATGCCTGCCATGGGCCGAGGCTGCTGGCACTGCTGATTCCGGGCATGCCAGGCCCCGGCCTCCGAAGCAGTGGCAGCAGGCCCTGCCTGCTCTTGTTTCCTTTCAGGGCCTGGGGATCAGCTCCTTCTTGTTTTTTCTTTTCCTTCAAAGGCACCGACTCCCCTTCTCCCTTCAGAATGTCCTCTGCCATGAATTCTTCCCAGTGAGTGAGGTTTAGGTGGGAAGTGGTTTGCAGGGAACTTTCGCTTACAGGCTCCATAGCGTCCTCGTGCCAGGGAGCTCTAGCGCCGCCCCCCTTTGTGGGCCGGGTTCCGGACATTATACACAGAAACAGAATTGTAACGAGGTGCCCTGCCACAAACAGGAAAAGCCGAAGGAGAAAATAAGACCCGCCCTCAGGGAATAATTTTTATTGGGGGTTATTCTCATCTTTCCCCCTCCCCCTCCTGGGCATGTTACGTAAGAAGCTGGTTTTATTATTTTTGTAACTTTATTATTTTTATTATTTTTGTAGCTTAATAGTTTGGTCTTATTTTCATACACCGACATGAGATGTTTTGCTGATAATTTTTTATCTTCACGCGCTTCCACATGTCTGGATTTGTTTTCTGTTTGACTGAAAATGTTTACAATCCCCAAGAGCAGTGTTTCCAGCTGTTACCTTTCATCTGTTTTTCTTGTTGACCTTCTCCTTCCTCCTGTGGACCCCTCCAGGCCCTCCTCACCTTCTGCTGCCTCTCTTCCCCTCGCCTTCAGAGGATCGGGGTGACCAGGGTAACTGTCTCTGACTACTTTGGGAGAGACTGACCACTGAGAGACTGGCTGAGGATCCTAGGAAAGTATCCGACCAGGGATGTAGTTCCGCAGGGAAAGCCCAAGATGGGGTCTGAAGCCCCCAGCGTCTGGAGCATAGACACTCCAGCAGGGCTGCAGCCGTCCAGCCCCGGCCCGGCCCCACCAGGCAGGTCCTCGTTCTCCCACCAGGCGGCAGCATGGGGCCATCTGCCGAGAGCAGCGGCGAACTCAGGAGGTCCCCCACGTGCAGGGCACTGCTTCGCCACTCTGGGGGTGACACTTGTAGGAGAGCACACATTTCTCCTCAGCAAATACAGACCCTTTGGAAGGGGGACACATTCAATGAATGGGGACGTCGTCTTGAGTTGTGTTCTTCACTGAATTGATTTTGAATGAGGTTTTGTTTTTTTTTTTGTTTTGTTTTGTTTTTTTTTTGTGGGAACCTCGCCGTTGGCCAGAGATGGAACTGGCGCTGCAGAGGCTGCGGGCGCAACCCAGCGCTCAACCGCTGTGCCACCAGGGGAGGCCCGAATGAGGATGTTTTTGAGCGAATCCACAAATGCCTGTTTCACCCCAAAGAGGAGCTTGATTACACTGATGACGTCAGTCAGGGCAGCCACGTTCCCCAGCTGAAGTCCCTCAGCAGAGAGCTCTCAGGAATGGCACCCTCTGAGAGCCAGCCTCAGTGTGGCTGTGCGTGGCCTGGCCCAGCCCATCTTGTCTGGAAAGCGGGGCTGAGCTTGCCACTGAGCGCTGGTTCCAGCCTCCTGCGGTCGGTCCTCAGTGCTGCTCAGCTCACACCCCACTCCCACTCCGAGATCCAGCCCCTCCTCGGGGCATGAGCAGCAGCCTCTTTTGGATGCAGAAGTGCTTTGCTGACACTCTGCTTCCTGCTCTAGGGTGATTGTTCCCCTGACTCATTGCGTGACCTTGACAGTGATGTGGGTTCAGGAATCTGTTTCCGTGGAGTCCGGGCTGGCAGCAGTGGGCGGGGGTGTCTGTGGCTCTCCTGCCTTGGGGATTGCAGATGGAGTCCAGGTGGTGGCTTCTTCCTGACTGAACCTGAGGGCTTAAGCCTCATTTTTTCCTTTTGCCACAGACATGGCTTCCCAGGTCCTCTGTCACTGCTGCGCATGTCCTGGAGGAGGAAGCTTGGCTGAGTCTCTTGGAGGCGCCAGCTCTTGTTCCACCTGCGGGGTTCGTGGCTGCTGCCGCCATGGTGCCCTCCCCTTGGCGGGCAGGCTTGGGGTTCTACACTGTTTCATTAACCATCACTGTCCTGGTCGCCTTTTCCCCCGTGTGTTTCTGAGGAGATATCAGAGGAAGTGTCCCGCAGGACCGTAGCTTTTCCATGAGCTTCAAAAGCACTTAAACGGCAACGTGCTGGCCATGGGCCGCGAGGAAGGGCTTCTTCATCCTGAGCCATGCGTGTCCTGAGTACAGCAGAGGCCTGGAGGTGTTTGTGGGCACAGCCCTCCTAGGCGGCTTCCCTGACTAGACCCCACGTGTTCCCCTGGTGGCAGGATCATCAATGGTGTAGACGCAGAGGTGGCCAAATAGCCAGTGCCGAGCAGGCCTGGGGCTCAGGTAGCGTCACTGCCTTTTGCCTTCTTCTGGGGAACCCCTTCCATGGTCCAGGGAGCCCCCCAAGCCCCGCGTGGTCCAGGGAGCGGCCGTCTTAACTCCAGGGAAAGCTTTTGGGGAAGAAAAGCAAAGGGAGGCTGGGGTTCCCCAGCTGGCCTGCTGGCCCTGCTGCTCGCTGCCCAAAGCTGGAGCAGTGCTCCCACCGGGGGCCAGGTCCTCCTACTCTGCAGGCTGACTCAATGGCACATGCAAGGCCACACTGCTTGCAGGAGACCCCAGGGTCTTGGCGGCCCCCAGGCTACCACTGTCCAGCGTCACCACCACCATGCAGTCCTGTGGAGGTGGCGGGCCCTGTGTCACATTCAGCATTGGGTTGGTGCTGTGCCACTCAGCAGCCGCCCTCCAGCCAGGTGGTGTTCTTTTACCCACGAAGAAACTCAGGCTCAGAGAGGTTAGGCCGCTTCCGTGGGGCCCCACAGCCAGGAAGCAGCAGAGGTGGATGTACAGATGCGCAGACCCTGCAGTGTTACCTATTCCTGTTCTCCCTTCATAAGCAGGCGTCCCGCTCTGGCCCTCCTGCCTCCCTGGGCCTGGGACGCCTCATGGGGTGCAAGCCGGGCCTGCAGCAGCAGCCTAGTCAGTGAGCGTCTTGCGTGTGACTGAGTCTTGCTGCTCGAGGCCGTGTTTCTTAGCAGCGCTGGTCAGTCCATGTCCCGGGCGGCAGAGCCTTGCTGACATTTCCTGGTGGGTGCCAGATGTGTGGGTGCTGCCCTCTCCCCTCAGGGCGTCTTGCTGTCAGCATAAGGTGTGGCTCGGCGCCTGACAGCAGGGAGCTGCTGCCTGTGCCCTTTGCTCCCCACGGCCTTTCACACATGTTCCTTGTCCAGCCAGGGCCTGCCACGCCTTGACCCCTCTGTTTTCTCAGTCGCCTCCTCCCTCTACCCCTCCAGCTCCTTGCCTGTGTCTCCAGGCAGACCCCAGGGGGGCAGCAGACTGGCTGCTGGCCACTGCCAGGTCAGCTCTCTGCTGGGACGCTGCCCGCTCTGGGCCATCCTCACCTCACCCTGCCCCTCGGTGGGTGGGGAGCCTTCCTTGGGCCTGACCTTGGCGGCCCTGCTTGTCGTGGCCTGGCATCCTGACATCTCTGGGGGGCTGCTGATTCTTGGTGGAGCTGAGGCTGCAGTTCCATCCGTCAGAATTAATTACTGCAAAAAAATTCAAAAGAGGCTTTGGGAGTGTTTCTGTTATTTAGATGGTGTAAGGGGTGGTGCTGTTTTCTCAGTTTCTCACAGCAAGGAGAACTGAGGCTTGGTCTAGAACCATGTAGTTGTTTGGGGGCCCACAGGCCACATGTGCAGGCTCCGTGGGGCGAGAGCAACTTGGGCAGTGCTGGGGTGAACACACCTGGGAACACGGGTGGGTGGCCAGGCCCTCCCACAGGCAAGGCTTCAAGTCAGTGGGACTCATTTACCCGGCACTTCTCAGATTTCATGTCTCTGCTTGTGGAAGCCCCTCCCACTCGCCAGACAGGGCAGTCACCTGGCGTTCAAGGAGTCCAGTGCCGCTGTGTCTGGACCGGCCAGAGGTCGAGTGGCAGCGCTGCTGTACCCCGCTGTGGCCTGGCCCAGACCCTGGGGAGGGGGAGCAGGGTGCCAGAGAGGGCACAGGAAGGCCTTTGGTCCCCTGCCCCTCGAATTCAGCTTCTTCAGTGTTGTGTGTGTATAAGAGTGAGTGCATTGGTGCTCCCCCTCTTGAGTTTGGGAAGTAGAATTTTCCAGAAGGAGCCCCCATCCCTCCTCTCCTGGATGCCTTTGGTTTCTCAGAGCTGGTTCGTGCAGATGCTGTAGTTGCTAATCACCTTGAAGGTGAACCTAGGATTCCAGGGATTTCTTGTGGAATTCTAAGCTTGATTGCCCCCTACTAATCTGCAGCCAGAGGAGGGAGGGAGAGGAAATTTGAACCTTCACCACCCACAGTCCCATTCTTAAACAGAGACTGTAATTGAATGCTTTTAAGCAAAATTAATTTGCCTCCTGCTGGAAGGTTTATGATGAATGAAAGGATTGCTAATGGGGAGGGAGCCTGCTGCCCTCTGTGGGCATCAATATTTCATGGCCAGAGGCAGCAGCAGGAAGTTAGCTGCCCAGGCTCCCTGACCTTGAGCAGCTGAGAAGATAGGACCCAGCCAGGCAGGTCTTATTTAAAGGGCTTGTTACCAGTCCTTAGTGAAAACCCAAGTGAAGTTTGCAGGATGCATCGTGGGTTCGTTGAATTCACAACCGTAGCCTGTGGGAGACTCCCTCAGATGGGGTTCAGGACCCGACCTGAGACTGATCCTAGTTGGGGGTGCAGCTCCCTCTGCACCACTGGCAGAGGTGGGGTGTATCGGGTGGCTAGGGGCTGGGCGTGTGTCTCCTGACCTCTGGTGTTAGTAGCTCCAGCAGAACCAGTTTAAAGCTGCCCACCCAGAGTGGAGTGTCCCCCACTTTGCCGGTGCCAGCCAAGTTCCCCACATACTCCCCTACCTTCCTGGCGATGGGGGAGGCCCTGCCAAGCAGCTGCATTTCCAGAAACCCCTGGGCAATACTCATCCACTTTATTTAAACAATTTTTTTTTTTTAAAGAGGCACATATTTTATTTATTTATTTGTTTGTTTGTTTACACATGCACTGGGTACAGTCAGAAGTGCGGGAGGGTGAGAGAATTCACCAGAGCCAGAGCGGGGAGCAGAGCAGGCAGAAGGACTGAAGGACACTGCTGAGGGGAGCAACGGGAGGCAGGAGAGGTCTGCGCGCCATGTGGGACCCTCCTCCGGTGACCGGGGAGCAGCCGGGGGATCGAACCGGCGCCGCAGATGCTGCGGGCAGCTTCGCAACCCAGCGCTCAACCGCTGCGCCACCGGGGAGGCCCTACTCATCCACTTTAGATTTGCCCCCTTGACCCGGAGTGTGGCTTGTATAAAACTGAGAAGTTAATGAACCTTTTATTTTCTTCTTTCTTCTCCCTAGCTGCTATTAACCTAGCAAAGCTGAAACTCTTCAGACATTATTACGTCTTGGTGAGTAAAAACTATCCCAATTCTGTAAATAAACTCAGAGGAGCAGAGCAAGTGAGCTTCCAGAGAACTGGTGAAGGCCCGGAGCTGTGTGGATTTCGTGTCATAAAACTCAATTGTCTCCTTAGATGTGGGAGATTAAATATCTGAATTCATTCTTTTTAAATTTTAGTTTTAAACAGAGCTGTAAATACACATGCTGGATGTTTTTGAAAATTCAGGGAGGGCAAAAGCCCCCTCTGGTCCTGACTGGGTCCGCCTCCCTCTCCCCGCCCCCACCATCACCTGAGGTAATGGCCACTGAGCATCACCAGCTCTTGCCCTGGAGTCTGCTCTGGCCGTGTGCCACGCGGGTCACTGTTGCTTAGACTTGCTCTTTTAATTCTTTACAAAAATGGAATCACACCTCAAACAGGGCTAGAATGGATGGAACAGGCCGCGAAAGCGCAGTACCGGGGGGCAGGACCGGTGGGAGTCGGGGGTCTGGATTTCTGGGACTCTGGAAGGCCTGGGCCTTCCAGAGTTCGCCTCTGGACTCCCAAGAGAGTTTCTGAGTCATCCACTGTCTGTGGCTTTGGCCATCACCTTGCGCGCTTGGTGTGCAGGTTCTGCTCCCGAGCCTGGCCACCCTGGGCAGGCGTGGGCACGGAGAGCAGCGCCTGCTGTGGTGGGCGGGCCGGGGTGCTCAGTTTGTGGGTCCTTTCTCCCCAACTACTGATAGCATCTGCTGAAAAGACCCTAAGTCCGTATTTTCCCCAGGTAGGATAAGAACATGATGCTTGGGGTTGAAGTCAGTGTGTGTGTGAGTAGGTGGGGGGCGGAGTCACTCAGCAGTGCCAGCGGCCACGCCAAGTGTTCTGTTCTCCCGTGGGGGCAGCTCCTGCCAGCAGCTCAGTCACATAGACAGTGAAGGGCCCCTTTGGGTGTAGCCGGGCATGGGGTACGTGGCTCCCTGCCGTGTTAGCGAGTTGGCACTGAGGAGCTGGTTTTCTTCAGGCAATTCTGCTTTGTGGTTTATCTGAGAAAACAAATTGCTGGAGGACGGCGGTTTCTGTCTCCCCCAGATCGTGTGCTACATATACTTCACCAGGATCATCGCATTTCTGCTCAAGCTGGCCGTCCCGTTCCAGTGGAAGTGGCTCTACCAGGTGCGGCCGGCGGCCCTGGGTGGCGCGGGTTGTGGCTGAAGGTCTTTCCAGATTTATCCAGACTTATCTGGCTGTGGCCACTGAGACCTTCGGTCGCTCTGGTCTACAGTAAACTTAGCTGGCTGGGAGAGCTGCTAGATTTCATACGAAATCTAAAGAGTAGTTGCATTATTGATTTGAGTTTTCAATTTTAGAAGTGGCGAGGGGGCGGTTTCCTGCTGTCACTCAGTCTAGATGGGGACACGGTCTTTTCCTCCGGTTGTGGGGCTCGGGCGCTGCTGCAGCCGGGAACTCCCTTCTTTACCGCTATCGCCGATGGGGCCGTCTCCCGGGACTCTGCCTTTTTCTTGTTGTTCTCACCTGGTGCTTTAGGCACTGTGGGGAACTGTGGGGCTGTCACAAGCTCTTAAAAGATACTGAGGAAGACTGGTTGAAGCAGGGCCCCAGAGCGCTCTGCAGCAGAATGCTCCACTGAGGCCTGAGCTGACCTTCTAAGGGACGCGCCCCCTTGCAGGGTCTCTGGTATTTCAGTGAGCGAGTGGCCGATGGATGGATGCAGGGGGGCTTGTTTGTTTAGTCCTGCTGCTTTCTGGAGAACCGTGTTGCTAATCCCTTCGTTTGGGGTGATCTTTAAATCCACAGCTCCTGGACGAGATGGCTACGCTGGTGTTCTTTGTCCTAACGGGGTATAAGTTCCGCCCAGCTTCAGATAACCCCTACCTCCAGCTCTCTCAGGAAGATGACGACTTGGAAATGGAGTCTGTGTAAGAATCCCCCTCGCATCTCCCCTGCCCCTTTACCAGTGTGAAGCGGCTCCTTTTCTCCAGAGGTGGTAGAAAGAGGGCTTTCAAAAGAGGGCTCGCGGCTTCTGGGGCCACCACCCCAGGCTGTGCTGTTCCTATGGCACCTTCAAATACTCCAGAGTCCACCTCAGCCCAGGCATGCTGAGCCCTCGCCTATGCCTTCTAGAAGGCCACGAGCTCTGTCTTCCATGTTGGAGGGTGTTTCCTGAGGAGGGCGCAGCGTCTAACCCCACCACAGAACCAAGCACCCCCACACCTCAGTCTGCGCCCCTCCAGGTCTCGTCTGCTGGCCACACCTGAGCACCAGCTCGCTGTTGGGAGCTGGATGGTTCTCTTCCACCTCCTCCTGTCTTTTCTCACCAACCTTATCTGACACTAGACTGTGGGAAGCAAGCCTGGCCAGCTACCCACTCTCCCTGGGGCCGCGGGCCGGGTGATGGACTCCTCCCACCTGCATACGGCCAGGCTCAGGACTAATGCAGACTTTATCTTCCCCTTTTAGTTCTTTCAGCCTCTCCTTGGGCCCAGGCCACAGAGGCTTACCCACCTCGATGCTAAAATGCTAACTGCAGCAAGTTACACAGCAGCAGGCGCTGTTTGAACGCACGTATGCGTTGGGCCCCGTGTGCTGTGGACTATTTCTGCCATCAGGAAAAGTGGGGGCAGGGAACACGTGCTTTTTGCCTTCTGTGCTGCTGCCCCCTCCTGCCTCTCATATCATCCCGCCACTCCTCGTCTTTCAGTACGGGCTGCAAAGCTGCTCCAGCCCCAGCCAGCTTCACACACACACCACCCTCCCCACCCCACCCCCCACCCCCGTGCATCCCTTTGTCCCCAGGGACTTCAAACTCAGTCACAGGACTGGGGACCTAAGAGCCCCACTCAGTTTTGTCTCTGTCCTGTGCCAGTCCTGTCGTTAGGCCCAGGGAGAGTCTCTGGGTGTGTCGATGCCCCTGAGTGACCAATGGCAGGTACAGCATGTGGCGTGTGGGTGCGGCAGATGGGTCCTGGCAGTGTCGAGCTGGTGGCTTGAACTGACTTGACTGGTCAGGAATGCCTGCCAGCCCACGGGGATGTGTGGGACTGCGCTGCACCTGGAGCCTCAGGGTGGCGCTGGCCCGGGGGTGTGCGCCTGCGGAGCGACTTTTTAGAGCGGTTGTCAGTTTACCACACAGACAGAGGCGGAGAGATGCCCCAGGTCCCCTGTCCCTCGCATGTGGAGCCTCCCCTGCTACGAGCACCCCCAGATGGCACATCTTGCCACAGCCAATGAGGCCACATTGACTTGTCAGCACCCAGAGTCACACCTCACCCTGGGGTGGCTCCTGGTGCCGGACATAGCATGGGTGGACGGATGTGCAATGACGCACACCCCACACCCTGGGGTCCTCGGAGCTCTTTCTGCCTCGACGTCCCTGTGGGGCACCTGCTGGGGAGCACCCCGTCTTCGGTTGGCATCACCTGCTCTGGTGCCACCTAGTTCCTTAAGATAGAGAGACTCTTGGGCTCCATCCTGAGAGACCGGGGCTCACATTGGCAAAGCGCCCCTGTGCCGGCTCCTCGTGCTCCATGTCCTGGCCACATTTCAGGGGCAGACTCCCCACACCTTGGCACCAGGCACCCACAGAGAAAAAGCTCTGCTGGGAGAGACCCATGGTGGGAGCTCAGCCCCCGCTCCCGCTGACAGTGCACAGCTCGGCGCAGCCTCTGGTAGTGAGAGAGTCTCTGGACGGGCCCAGAAGTTTCCTCCAAACCATTCTGTGCCCTGACTCAGGACTGACCCACTGTGGCTGGTTGTTGTAAATGTCCGCCGCTGATTAGCTTCCTTTCCAGACCGGCGACCGTAACACGCATGCTGTCCTCTTGCTCAAACTGACGTACGTGTGTGCAGCGTGGAAGTTAGTGGAGGACACGACAGACGAACGTTGATTGTGACAGCAGCTGCTGCTAAGGATGACGGAGCACTTGGTGAGACTGTCCTGACAGTTCTGGAAGCGGGGACGTCTTACTGTACAGAAGCAGGGAGAGGGCGAGTGGCCTGGCCAGCGTTCCGCGGCTGGCGAGGATGGGTCAGGTTCTGCGCCCAGGCTCGTCTGGTTCCAGAGCCAGCCCCTGCCCCTTCCTGAGCTCTGCTGTGGGGACGGCAACCTTTTCTCTAAGCCTGAAGTTTTCCTTGTGTTTCCCTATGCAGAGTGACGACGTCAGGGGTGATGGAGAATATGAAGAAAGTCAAGAAGGTGACCAACGGCTCGGTGGAGCCGCAGGGCGGCTGGGAAGGCACCGCGTGACGGGCGGCTCCGAGGACGGCACTGTCCAGGCCGACACTTAACTTATTAATAGTCCTACTGGTGATGGAGCGCGGGTGGCACTTCCCGACAGTGACACCACCGGGCACATGGCTGGGAGTGAAGTGCCACGGAAACCTAATTTTTCACTCTCTCTTATGGAAACTGGATCTGTGGCTGGTTAGAGGCAGCTAGAATTCTCCTTCAGCTGTGGATGGCAGGGAGGAAGCAGGAGGATAAAAGGAAGACTTTAATTTATATTTCTTTTTTATTTCCATTGGGAGCTCTAAGGTGTCTGCGGTGACCCCAGGTGTGCGGCCGCGGAGACAGGGACTGGTGGGTGTCTGAAGCAGTCTCAGTGCAGGGTGCGCTTGCGGGGGGGCAGGTGTTGAGGGGGGTGAGGGGACTCACCAGGAAGGGACACGAGGGCATGAAATTCAGTTCATTTAGGAAAAAAGTCACAGCCCAATGGCAGCATGCAAGGCGCCCTCGAGGTTCTCAGCCCTGCCTGTTGCCCCAGACCTCTGGCCCTGGCCCTGGACTGACTAGGACATGGCGACTCTGGGGGCCCGGTGGCCTTGCTGTGCTCTGCGCCTGTGATATCCCCTTGAGGCCAGTCCCTGGCACACAGCACGGCCCAGCTGGAGGGAAGTGGGCACTAGGTCGCGGCAGGCTGTGTGGCCTGCTGGATGTCCAGAAACACACGTGGATGCTCAGAAGGCATTCTGGCCCCCCGGCTAACTGGAGAGGCCCGTATCTTGTTTCCTGGTCTCCTCCGGGCCTATCTGCTTTGATATTCATAATAGGGGGCAGCAGAAGGAGTGTTCCTTGAAGAGCAGCTGGGGCAGGAGAGGTTCAAGGAGTTGTGCTTGTTGAAAGGCCTGTCGCCAGGTGGCCTTTCTAAAGAGAGGAAGGAGGCCAACCTTGCCCCGGGCTCCGGGAGTGTGGCTGTGATGGGGCGGTGTGCTCTTGGGTTGGGGTCAGGGAGGTGTTGCGGAGCCCCAGAGACCTCTTTCCTGGTCTGGCCCAAGCCCGGGGAGTCGCCTGAGGTGGTCCGTCTTGCCGCTCTTGGCAGGTCATTGGAGTTAATGGGGCAAGCGCAGCAGGGCCCTTGTGACCAGGGTGGGCGAGGGCCGGCTGGGCTGTCCCGCTATGGTTTTGGTGCCTGGGCCTGAGACAGGAGCCTGAGTGTGGCTGAGTCGGGACTTCCAGTGCCAGGTGAGGGGCTTGACCCCCGGCGCCCGCCTGGGCTTGTCAGCGAGCTGCACCTGCAGGGACGGGGCCTCCTGGGCGGTGGCAGTGGTGGTGTCTGGTGGTGGTTTCTTCCCTCTGGCTTGGAAGGGTCAGTCGGAAACCACAGGGTTAGTCGGAAACCACAGGAAACCCTCAATAGCCTCGTTTGGGAACCTGAAGTGTCTCCCCTGAAAGCAGTTCTCCCTCTCCATTGCCATCTCGCTTGTCACCCCCCTGTGAGGAAGTGGCATGCTCGAGCCCTCACCAGGCTTCTGCTGCCCAGGCCGGCTCTGAGCAGCGGTGCCAGAGTCAGCTGGCACTGGGGTCAACTGGCACCCGGGAGGTGTTGCTGCTCACCGCCCTGCAGACCTTGGAGGAAGGGTCGCTTTGCCGTCCCCTTTGCGGGAGCAGGAAATGCACCCTAAGTATTTCAAGTTGTGAGACAGGAGAAGGAAGTTGCAGGGGGGATGAGACTGTTTTTAGGACTCTGTTTTCCTGCACACAAACCCCACCCCAGCACCGCAGAACTCCTCACGCTGAGGCCAGGCCACTGCCACGCTTCCCCCCTCCAGGGCTGCCCCACTGCACCCCACCAGCAGGTGTTCCTGGCAGGCCACAGAGGGCTGGGCAAGAGCAGGGGCATGATGAAGCCGCCCTCTGGAAAGGGTCTCCACGGAGCTGTCCTCATTTTAACTGCTGGGAGCGGAGGAGTGGAGGAGGCAGGTGGGGCGGCCGCACCCTACCCGAGCTTTGCAGGTGGCATGGGAGGCAGTCCTTCTCTGGGGGCCGATTCTCCGTACCCTGCCCCCCAGCTCCTCTGGGCTCAGTCACCCAATGCCCAACGGCTGGTGACTGAGCTTGGGCAGGCCTGAGCCTTCGGGAGCAGGGATTAGAGCTAAAAGCCAGGCTGTCCTAACGAGGCCGTCTGGCGGGGGCTGCAGTCTGGCCGATGATGGAGAAACGTTAAGCCCCAGCCCAAGACTGAGAAAGCAAGTGCCATTTGGGCTTTTAAAAATCCTCGAAGCTCTCCAGCCCGTTCTGTCTGTGTCTCCACTTTCTGCACCACCTCCTTGCTATGGCCAGCCCGTCGCTGTGCTGGTGAATGACCATGTCTTGTTGGGGTCCATGGCCAAGTGGCCCCAGAGCTAACAAGCCCCTGGGTGCGATGCATCACCCCAGCCCAGGACTCCCTGAATGCGGCCTCCAGAGCTGGGGCTGAGGGTGGGGTGCTGGCCTCCAGTGGCCGGCAGTGGTTATAGCTGCGCTCCGGCTCCCCCTTAGGTGCCCCTTCCTGCTGGTTCAGGTGCCTTTGCTTTCTCCGAGGAGCCCACCATGTGTGTGTTTTGCTAGAAAATGACTTCTGGGACAAGAACAGCTGTTGATCTTTTCATCCTGGCTCTTCCAAACAGTGGCCAAAGACTCCGTCGGCCCACTTCTAGGTCCCTCGGTGCTGCCCAGTGTTCAGAGTGGGAGCTGTGTCCCGCTGAGTGTGACCCCTTCTGGGAGAGAGACGCTGCTAGTGTGAAAGCTGCTTTCTCAGGCCAGCGCCTGAGTTTCTTCCAAGAAACCACTTTAGAGTAAACTTCCCAGGCCTCCCCCAAGCCGTGTCCAGCGGCCCAGGCTGCTCGGCCTCATCCTGAGCTCACTTCCGGTGCCTGTGGGGCGAGCTGTCCGCTCCCACATTCTGATCTGTCCACAGCCTGCCCTCCCCCGCGGCCCACACCCGTGATCTCACGGGGCCGCATCTGGGGGGCAGCGCGAGGCTGTGGTGCACTGCAGCTCTTGCTCCAGCCGCCCGGAGCGTGTGTGCCAAGCTGAGGAGAATCTGCCCCAGTGCACAGTCGGGTGCTGGCGCTTGTTGCTCTGGCGGTGAGTGGCTTCCTCCCGGCGCTGCGTGAGGGCAGTGGTAGTGAGGCGCCTACGCTAAGGCTCTGGTTCTCACGGACCAGGAAGAGTGTAAAGAAGCTGGTTTAATCACCACCTCCCCCAGCCTGTGGCATTTCCTTCTGAGACTCTTAGGCCCTTAGACAGTCTGATGACTGCCAGGCTGCACGCCCAGGACAGCCCTGCCTCCAGGCAGCTGATACCCCAGGAGGCAGATCCCGGCCCTCCACACCCCCACGCGCCACCCTGCCTTCTGACCTACCCGGATCTTTGGACAAATTCAGGATCTGCTGAGTGTGGGATGTCCGGGGCCCTGCTTTTTTTCCCCCTTTGTGGGCCAGTAAATTCATGGCTTCTGCACTAAAGAAGTTCATTTGATTCCTCTTGGTATGTCAAAAGGTAGTTATCTGGAATATTCTAAATGGTCTAGAAGATCTGCTCTTAATCCAGTTTCCCTAGCGTGATTTTGGCAGGAAGTGTCTAGAGAGACGACCCTGTATTTTGGCAGGAAGTATCTAGAGGACCCTCCCTTGGTTTCTGCTGGGCACAGGAGTGATCCCATGACTCACTGCGGGCCCGCACGGCCCCAGAGGCCGGGGAAGAAGGCTCTCTGCGGGCATGGAGATGAGCAGGTGGGGGTGAGCAGTGGGTCTGGAGTCTGACGGCTGGAAGGCTGGGGACAGAGGCGCCTGCACCAAGTCTGAGGTCACGTGAAACGGGAGCAGCCCCCTCCCGGGACGGTAGCTAGCGTGCAGGCAGGTTTGGGCCGCCAAGTCAGGCGGGCAGAGAGCCAGCCCTCTTCCCGCTCAAGATGCTTTTACGAAAGGCTCCCCAAATCCTGTCCTCAGAATGGGTTTCTTGGCGCCTTAAGCAGCTTTTGCAGATCAGAAATGGGATTTGACCTCAAAAGGACTCAGGCACATTTGATCCAGAAATAAGTTTCCTTTGGGGACGAGGGTGCAGGTCTGTAAATACTTGCTTTCCAAGTGAGGTGGGTGCAGAGAGAGTTGTCAGGATTTGTCTCAACACTCACGGAGAGTGTCCTGTACCCTCGTTGCCAGTGGGGTCCGCGCAGGGTGATACGGGGGTAGGGGACGCTCTTCTGCGGCGCAAACTGTAAAATAAAGACTGTCCGGAAGCCTGTGCGTGTGGTCCTGGGCCGGGCCCGTGCCGGGTCTCCTGCTTGCCGTCGTCTTTTCCTTGTGGTTTTTGGTCATTCAATTAGTGAACTGCCTCCCACTTGCTCCCACGCCTTCTAGAGCGGCTCCCACACCACAGCAGATGCGAGGCAGTTGCTGAGACTCAAACAGGGACTCCAGCCCCCGAGGCTGCACCTTTCCAAGGCCGTTCACCCGTGTTCCCCTCCGAGGGAGCGCCTCTGAGTCGGCTCCCGGCGGCGCTGCCCTCCAGGGAGATGGCAGCCGAGCCAGCACCGGCCACGCGGCGATGGGCTGTGTGCCCCGCCCAGCTGGGTTGGGGGGGACCCCCGGTGCACCTGAGGAGTAGACTCCAGGCCCCTGTGGAGGCCACGTGGCCCAGGCCTGGTCTTTCAGGCGTGGCTTTGTTACACTTTGAGATGGAGCCTTTTTTTTTTTTTTTAAAGATTTATTTATTTATTCAAGATTGATTGATTGATTTATGCAAGCACTGGGAACAGTCAGAAGCGCGGGAGGGTGAGAGAACTCACCAGAGCCAGAGCGGGGAGCAGAGCAGGCAGAAGGACCGAAGTACACTGCTGAGGGGAGCAGCGGGCGGCAGGAGAGGTCTGCGCGCCATGGGGGACCCTCCTCCGGTGGCCGGGGAGCAGCCGGGGATCGAACCGGCGCTGCAGAGGCTGCGGGCAGCTTCGCAACCCAGCGCTCAACCGCTGCGCCACTGGGGAGGCCCGAGATGGAGCTTTTTCAGGGTGCAGTTTGGTGAGTTCCCATGAAGCCCTTCAGGCTGCCCTGGTGCCCTTCCCAGGCCACGCAGGCCCTGCCCTCTCGTCCACATCGCCAGCTGTTGCCTGGTCGGAGCTCCGCAGAGCCTCCCACACAGGCCCCTCTGCGCCTGGCTTCCCCCACGTGGCACTGCTGCTGGTGTCCATCCCAGGAAGCCTTGGCTTGACAGCCTCAAAAATTAGGGCCCAAGATGATTGCAAACCCTCCCCCAGTCCCGTTACCCAGCTAGTGACTGCCAGGGCGGAGCCACCAGTTGCCTGACCACGCCTTGCGGGGTGACGAGAACGAAGCTGAGGGCGGCAGCTGAGAAAGGACCTTGGGCCACCGCCCAAAGCAGCAGCTCTTGAGTGTGCCGCCTCAGAGGGCCCCGGAGGCCCCCGGTGTCTGGGGACGAGCAGTCACTGCTGACAAGCTCCTGGGGCTGCTGCTGCTGGGGCAGGGCCACGTCACATGACATCACTCGCTCCCGCTCGCCCTTCAGCTCAGGGCTCCCAGACCCGCAGCCAGCGGTCACCAGGACTGTGGGCCCCGCTGAGTTCACCCCTTGATCAACAGGCTCCCCCTCCCCTAACAGTCTAGAGCTTTCCCAGGTAGAAACAGGTGTCAGCTGGTCGCACTGAGCTTCAGCGCCCACGGGGCTGGCCTGAGAGGTGGTCAGTCGGGCCTCTGGATCTGACCGCAGCCCCATCCTGTTTCTCTGTCCTAAAGAAGCAGCAGTGCGGGGGAAGCTGGAGCTTGACCCACCCAAATACACCTGCTGAAAACAGCCCACCACCTCCGGTGCCAGGTGCCGCCCTCCAGGAAGCTGTGGGTCTGCAGGTTGGTTCCACGCTCTCTCAGGCAAGGTGCAGCCCCAACCCCCTTGCAGGCACTGTGGGGCCTTCCAGAGAATTCCTCTATCCCCCCTGTGCTGACACAGCAGTTTGGAAACTCAAATTTGGGGGTCGGGGGACCTGCTTAAGAGCTGTTCCTTGCTCCCCATTTGCAAGGGAATGCTGACCTCCATAAAAATGAACCACCTGGGGCCTCCCTGGTTGTGCAGGGGTTAAAGTCTCAGCTTTACCACTGCAGCCTGAGCCTGAGATGGATCCTCAGGGCGTGGCAGATCTCTGCTGTCTTCCCGCTGCTCCCCTCCCCCACCCCCGCACCTCTGGCCAATACCCCTGTTCTTGTATGCATAAATAAAATATTTTTTTAAAAAATGAGCCACCTGCTCATTAAAGTAGGTCTGTAGGAGGTGAGGGGGGCGGGTCCTAATCAGCCCGCGGGGCGCACACACAGGACAGCTTGTTGCCTGCAGGCCCACCTGGGTGGGAGCCCCACTGAGAGGTGGGGTTCTTCACACAAGGATGTGCAGGGCCCCAGGAGCAACCCAGGCATCTGTCAGGCTCCATTGCACGATGGGACAGTGGTGTTGGGGTGCGCTGCAGGGAGAGGACCCCAGCCACTTCTTTCCCTCCCACCCTATCCACTTGAACTGGCTCATTATTAAACACCATTCAAGTGTTTTCCATTGAGAAAGTGAAAAAGCTTCCCCAGCGCTGTGGACACACCAGGCCTCGGGCCTGCTTCCTCCCTCCCAGGGCCCCCAACTCTGCAGTCTGGTGTCCGGGCAACGTCACTAACCTCTTACTGTTATAGGGCAGCCCCGATATTGAGCGGGTTGCCTGGCTGTGGGTCCTCACCCGCGCGCTTACAAGGGACTTATGAATACTCCACTGCAGACACACACAGAAGGTTCATAAAGGTTTATTGACAAGGGAAAAGGAAATAAGGAAAATGGACAACTCGGAGAAAATAGGGAAATAAAGTCTTTCATGCGTCCTACCCGATCCGCCGACCTGGAAACCCAAAGGCACTCTCAGAGCTGGCCGGACGCTGCGAGCTGGCGGAGAGCCAAAAAGGGGGTCCCCTCCAAAGCCCACGTGCCTGGCTTTATACCCACCTGGCTACTGAACCCCACCCTCAGGTCCCAGCCACCTTCCCTTGGGTGGGGATGGGATGTGGAGCTCCCAGTGTCTTTGGCTTTGGCCTGGGGTGGGGGTGGAGTCCACAAAGCCTATATGGAATTAGCTTTAGGACAGCCTTTCCCCCCTAACATTATGACCTAGACATTAGTAGCCTGGGACACAGGGGGGCCCCCCTCTCTTAAAAAGTATACCCTTGGCTCCCATGGCATGGTACCCACCCTTCTGCATGTGCCCCCCACAGCTGAGATGGCATTTTCTTCCCAGCTGCTCCGTCAGCCTCCTGTGTCCGTCCCTTCAGTGTTGGGCTCCTTGGGGCTCTGTCCAGTCTCACCTGGACATGTCTCCCCAACGTGTCTCTTCCAAGTCAAAGCCACATCTTCAAAGTGAAGTTGCCTCGCCCCCTCCCTAACCCTGGTCAGTGCCTGGAGGGTCCTGACCCCAAATCGGGGTCTTCTCCTTGACAGGTCCCTGCCTTCCCCCGCCTCATCCCAGCCCTGTGGTTCAAGTCCACCTGCTAGGCCTACCGCCATGGCCATGGCCAGCCACCCTCACCCTCCCCTCTGGATCACAGCCACTGCCTTACAGCTGGTCTTGTCTCCAGCCTTGGCCATTGCTTCAGCCAGAGTGACCTGTACAGTCTCTGCCTGCTGTGTTAGAGCTACAAAAGCGAGGAAGATGCAAAATCCATATATAAATATCATCTCTATACACTTGCAATGAACAATGCAAAAGTGAAAACAAAACACATTGACATCAAAAGGAATACTGAGGAATAAACTTGCTAGATGCTAAACTCTGCAAATTAAAATACTGAAAGAAATTAAAGATCTAGATAAATGGAAAGCCATTCCGTATTCATGAATCAGAAGACAATGTTCTGAGGAGACCGTACTTCCCAAATGGATTGCTAAGTTCAGTGCAACTGCTATCGCAATCTCAGGTGGCTTTGCAGAAATCCACAAGCTGATCCTAAATTCCATGTGCAAATGCGAGGGATCCAGAATCGCTAAAACCGTCCTGAAAAAGAACAATTTGCATTGTGCATTGCAAAGTTAATGGACTTAACCCTTCTCAGTTTCAAACGGAGTCCAAAGCTGTCGTTAGGAAGCGTGTGAGTGTGTGTCCTGGCATAAGGATAGATGTAGTCCAAAATTAAACCTGGACATTTATGGCCAAGTGACTTTCGGCAAAGGTGCCACCGGTGACGCTGGGACAACCAAACATGCAGAAAATAAACGTGCAGCCCCACCTCCTCACGCTGCAAACCAAAATCCAAAGTGGCTCACACCCCTGAAACTACAGTGGGCCGCCCTGCACGACCTGGTGTTGGCCCGCAGCATGGGCAACAGGAGAAAAACATACACTGCTCTTGATCACAAAACTTACATGCTTCCAGAAACATCGTTCAAAAAGGTGCAAATATTTCCAGATCATGTATCTGATAAGGTCCTGGTTTGCCAACTCTTCCTACTCAATCAAAGGCAACCCACTTTAAAATCAAATAAGCATTTCAGTGGCATTATAATTTCAATTTCACGCTGCTGCATGTATCAAAACTTGATTCCATTTTAAGGGAAATAATCTCTCTCTCACACACACACACACACACACACACACACCTCCCAATTATTCTATCGCTCATCAATGAACACGGGCCGCTCCCACCTTTTGGGTGCTGTGAACATGGGTGTCCAAGTGTCCGCTCTAGTCTCTGCTTTCCACCTTGGGGTGCTAATACCCAGAGGTGGGATCGCTGTATCCTTTGGTGATTTCTGAATTGCTTGAGGAATTCATACCACCTCCTGCCAGCTCTGCACAGCCTCCATCTGTCTCAGTCTCCTTTACCAACACTTGATACTTTATTTTTACTGTAACCATCCCGCTGTGGTCTGCGGTCTCTTGTGGTCTTGCTTTGCTTCCCTAAGTTTCAGGGCCTCACCAGCTGGTTCGCTGGCGAGCATCTTTGCTGGCTTTCTGGCAACTTGCAGACATTTTCCGGAGAAATGTCTATTCAAATCCTTGGCCCGGGTTTAGTGTAGTTTAGTTTTAATGACGGTGAAATACACACAGCCTGAACTTTGTCATCTCCACCATTTTGGGTTTTTTTTAAGATTTATTTTTTATTTATGCATACAAGAACCGGGGTGCAGGCACGAGCGCAGGGGATGAGATGGTCCACCAGAGACTGAGTGGGGAACAGAACAAGCAGATCGACTGAAATCCACTGCTGAGGGGAGCAGCGTGGAGACAGGAGAGGTCTGCTGCGCCATGGGGGTAGCTCCCTGGTTGGGGATCGAACTCAGGCTGCAGTGGCTGGTGATAGCTTGGTCTTGCTGAGACTTCAACCCCTTCGCCACCAGAGAGGCCCCATCTCCACCATTTTTAAGCATGCAGTTCAGCAGTGTGAAGGGTATTTCCTTGTTGCACGTGAAAGCTTCATTTTCATCTTGCAAACCTGGCCTGTGGA